AGTTTTTCTGCTTCCTCTATTGCTAACACTGTTGAAGGCCTGGCTGATATGTGGAATATTGAAATACTATAGTCTGGAGAGGAAATACTATTGCTGTTAATCCTCTCCTCTTTTTCACAGAAGCCAGTCAAGCTCTTGGTTTAACATGAAAGTACGGACAATGAATTAGAACATATAACAGTCAGTAGCCTGAGCAAAAATGGAGGATATCTCAGGGTGAAACAGATCAAACCCAAACCAACACCTATTTGGAACAATATTTTCTGGTGGTAGAAGCAGTGAGGAAGGCTTATTTCCCAGCCTCCATTGTGTCTATGCAGAATAGACTGCTATTAAGGACTGTTTGATACCTCTTCCACCAGGATGCTCAGTGACTTATTCTGAACAAGTTGCAGTATTGATTGAAAAAACATGGAAGGAAAAAAAATTGTCGTCCCCCCCCCTCCAGTTACTCTAAATACAGGCACAGAGAACACAAAGTTTAATTGTGAGCCACCCAGAGTCACCCTCTGGGGAAGATGGGCGGCATATAAATTAAATAAATAAATAAATAAATGGCACCTTGCCTATCAGGCAGTTTGCACTGTCTGTTTGAAACAATTATTAAATTATCCTTGTATCTGTCATCTAAAATGTTCACTCCCTAGAACAGTTTCAAAAAAGTCACCTATAATTGCACTAGGAGTCACACCAGAATGGTTGCCTCTGGTAGCAGCTGAAGGAACAGCACCATTTGAGGGGATTATACTAAGCATACCCAAGGGAAGACAGTAACATTAATGTGAGAAGCAACTTTTTCTCAGTCGTTCCAATATTCTCAATTATTAATCTGTTTGAGAGCAGCAGATTAAGCAGCCTTTAACTTGATTTAACTGAGTGTTTTTTAAAAACCTTTCAGCTTTAAGACACTGAAGCTAACCATGTTCAGAACGTATTCTTGAAGCCTTCTCCAAAATACTAAGAGAAATTAGTAATGACTGTACATTTTGGACATCTGTAAGGCTTCTTTTTTAAAATAAATAAATAAATAAATAAAGGAAGAAATGAGGAAATTACATATATTCATTGCCTTTCCCATGGTTAAAAAAAGGGAAGAAATTCTTCAGGTTTAAAAAATAAACATATAATTTCAAGGGCCTGAACCTCAGTGACCTCCATTCTTAAGATAAATAAATGATCCAGCATTACATAACGGAAACTGTGAGTTAAGCTGAGAAAGTTGGAGAGAACAAGAGAAAAAGCAGAACTTTTATCCCTTCAGCAGTTCCCCAGGAAAGAGTTGACATGTCAGAGTTTTATCTAAGAGTGGATATTCTCCACTGGAATGTTAGCACTTTAATGGAATTCTGAGGAGTTCAAATCATTTCCCCTTGATGTCATCAAGTATACAGTGAAAAACTGATGAAAACCTTCTTAGAAAAATATGGGACATCTTCTATCTAGCTGTAAAAGGAGGTCAGGACAGTAGTGCTTCTGTTTTTGAGAAATGGTGAGATGCAATTTAAACATAATTATTACACTTCATAAAATGACTTACTAAAATTACTAATGAGACACCAGTAGTTTTGAGTTTTAGGGTATCTGAATTCTGGTACAAACAAAATCATACAAAATAACATATATAGTTCTAGCAACTATATAAACTGCCTTATTTTTCCAATAACCCCCCCCCCCATTCCTATTCAGGTTTTCCCTTCTGCCTTGGATCTTCAGTTTTTAAAAACTTAAGAGTCGTATTCCTTCTCTTTTCTTTTTGTGATCTTCCTCTTTCAGACGGAAGAAATACTTCTGCATCTTTAAATGATTCTACCCTTTTTCTACCCTTAGCACTTTATGCCAAGGAAAGCATACTTGAGAAAGTTCTTTGTTCTGTATCTACTCCTCCACAACTAATGAATGGGTCAGAAACTAGTAGCATATATGTCTTCTTACTTCAGTGAAATGTTAATGTAGTGTTCACATAACAAGGCCACCTTAAGAGTTTTTTTCAAAAAGTGATCACAATCTCCAGCATCAACATGCTGCTCAAAAGCAGGGGCCCAGACACCTCTGCAAAGGGTGAGACATCATGACATACTGTTCCTACTGGAATAATGTAAACCCACAAAAATGAAGGGCCATTATGGCAAAAGAATGACTGCACCCTTAAGTACACTGGGTGGCCAGTCAAATGGAAGTAGATTCTAGTGCAATTCATTTTCCTACTATCTGCTTTTTACCCAGACTAAGCAACGGCTTCCTTGGTTTTAAAAATTCTATTTGGAGGCATGCAGATGCATCCAATCAGAGTTTCTGGGTTTGATAATTATTCAATGGTTTTGACAAATATTTGTGAAAGCAGCAGAGAGAGACATTAAGCGGCTACTGCATGCCAGAGGAGATACCAAAATAAAATCAGTGATAAGGTGACAAGCAAGCCTCCTTATACAGAGTTAGGAAATACTCAGCAACTATAGAAGAGAGAAAGACAAAGAGGAGAATAGGGTGATCTGCTGTTTCCAAAAGCCACGAATGAACACCTTTATAGGTCTCCAGATGAAAGGATCACTGAAGACATTTTTTTCTAAATCAATGAATGTTGTGAAAGTTCAAAGGCTCTTAAAAATTAAAAACTTCTATCGTCCACCACATCATAGGTTTGCAGTAACACATTTTGCAGAGTTAGTAACAGTGGATATTGGAATCCATAACCCTGAATGCAACAGAATGTCATAGAATAGTAGCAGCCAATGTTTTATACGGAATGCAGACTACAGAAAAGCTACTTGCACAAAAGACCGATCCCCTGATAAATAGACTTGAATGCATTGCCAAAGTCAATGAGAGATGCTGCTTAAGTACTTTTTAAAGTAACAAAGTTTAAAACCAAATAATGAAAACAATATCCTAATTTATTGGATATTCACATTTTGTACAACACTATGCAAGCATAATGGAAGACATGGCTCCTCTCACTAAGGGCATACAATCCAAAACAGAAAACGAATTAAAAATCTCCAGCCACCCCCACCTCCCCACACTCATGCTGAGAGAACAGATGACGTGACCTTCCTTTGGTGCATTTTGTCTTTAAATGAGACCAGATGACAGTTCAGTGAAGGTTTTCTTTGGGAAGTCTCCCTGGGAAAGGTATTTTAGAAAGAGATGTTGAAGAGAGTGAACACTGGGTTTTAAGTTACTCCTTACAGAAACAGTAGTATAGCTATTTGCTAATACCTGAGGCACAGGATCCACAAAGTTCCTGACCCCTCTTCAAATCTCAGCAATATTACCAATCTTAGCAAGGCAGAGAAAGGCAATATTTTGCTGGTATTTCAGCCTGAAGACTCATAAGTAATGGAAGGCTGTCAGAGATCTAAAGTTATCAAACTTACTAATCTACCTCAGAGAGGTGTTGGGCTCAAAAGACAAGCTGCAATCTTGGGACATTCCCTGTCCATATATATACTTGTTTGTTCTATTTCTTCAGAGAAAGGAAGAAAATATATTGAAACAGAAAACAATTTTACCATATCATTCAATGCCCAGCTTGTTAGGACCTCCTATGTTCTGACGAGATATGGGCCACTGCAAAGCAGTCACATTGAGGTCTGCTCAAAATTAAGACCAGTTGATAGAGGCAACAGGTTTCAGTGGCTCAGATATTTTCTGGAGTCTCCTGTTTCAGATTGAAACTAATTGAGAGCGAGCGAGCTTACATATTCCCCCATGTTCCCATGGGTAGAATGCATTTCATATTAAAATTGCATGTCAAGAATAAATCAGGGCAGAATCCTTTGTGCAGGAGTGTCATATCTTGAAACTGGATATTACTCACACATTACTTTTTACATTAAGACCCTTGACTGCAAAACTTCCTAGCACTTGGATTCAAGATATCATGATTCTTAGCTGTGTGAACGCTGAGCCTGTATACCAAATTCAATTTTAACGGGGGGGGGGCTGTTATTTATAAATATGTTTATATATTAACTATATTGTGCTTGCAATACAGCTTCTTCAAGCACTAACAGCAGTATCTGACCAGCCCCAAATGGTGTATGATTCACCAGCTTTCACACAGTCACACTATGGGTGTATATTACAGTTGAAAATCAACAAAGAGCAACTTAAAACCATGACATCCAGGCCATGTTGCAATAAGAGGCTCTGAGTACCAGAAAGCTCATTTATTCCAATCTCGTACTCGCAAGGTACCCTTTCATCAGGACTGTCAGGCTTCACCCCCACAGGCAAGAATGAACTACTTAGGCAAGCTCACAAGAATTCCAAGAACTATAGATAAGTAATCATTACTAAAGAAAATGGGAACCTATAGCCAAGAATTTCAGCAATTCCTCTGATTCAAGAAAAAGACCTTTATACAGAAACAATGTTCAAACCTTCTTGCCTTTCGCTTTCCTCCTCACCTTACATAACAGACTATATGAAGCTTTTAGGTGGGTTGGACTGTCTGCATCTGTCCTTGATTTTTATAATTGTCAGATTTGCTACTTTTTTTCCCCCACTGACTGTGTGAGAACTAACTTTGTCAAAGAAACATAGTCCCAAAACTCTAGGAAATGTCACACTGGCAAATGTGCTTGGTTAGGAGTTAAGCAACACTACTGTCCTACAAAAGTGGAACAGGTGAAAGCAAGGATGAGACCTTGTACCTATGAGCTGATTCACAAATGTCTAGGAACTGCAAGAATATTACAGCTGAAGGCATCTGCTGGGGCATTGCTGAGGCAATGTGAATATCTTGTGAGAAATATTAGTTAGAACTAAAGATAATTTAAGAAATAAGTGGTGGATTGATCTTCCCAGCATCTAAAGTCCCTCCAAGCATCCAGGGAGGAAAGATAACTACATGTAGGCAAATATGCCCCATATAAACAACAGTTGCATTAAGTATACAAAACTGCAAAAAAATCAAAGCAAAAAGCACATTGTCATATAGTTCAAGCCATACTTTATATACAATAATTATCACAAAATTTGATTACAGTAAAGATTACCTTCTTTTTGCTGCAATAGATCTGCCATTTCTTCTCTGGTGGGAGTGCAAACATCGCCTCTCTATTCTTATCTGTGAGATCCAATTCATCCTGGAGATGGCAAGTAGAAAAACAATGTGTGAACAACACCACCAATAATTTTTTCAGAGCCTTTTTGCAGCCATCTTTAACACCTAATTTCCTGGAGGTTTTTAATTTTCTCAAATAATTGCTCTTGTAAAATATCCTCTGTTATATTTCGGTGCACTAAATGAAATGTCCATTGTCTTATTCAACGCAGAGACTTTCTTCCCATACATATGTCATGCACAATCAATTTTCTTCCCTTCATCTAAGGAAAAACAAAACTGCTGTAGGCTCCTATTAGAAGCCCTTCCAGAAAGCTCTTAAATAATCTTGTTAATTAGATCTTAGCACAGTTCATTTTTGTAAAGAGGTACATAAGTCTCTCGTGACAGCCTCTATGTGAATGTTCCCTCTACATGTTTTTAAAATTTCAAATATGCATTTCGCCCAAAACGTTTGCCTTCCCTTCATATACAGAAACCTAGACTGGCAGTTTCAGAGTCTATTAGAGACTAGGATTTAGATGCCCCTTTTGCTTGGCCTGTTAACAAGCAGCAAAAATTAAAATGTAATAACTGCAGAGAACTACCTCTCTCTAGAACCATCTTTAATCAGTGTTGCCAGTAGAAGAGAATATATGTAGCTTAGGGTTGAACTGTGGAGTCCTTAGTGCTCTCTGAGCTTGGTTGTTTGCTTGCAGACATTTCATTACTCAACTAGATAACATCATCAGTGCAAGTGAGTGATGGGCTTGCTCCTGGTCATATACAGTAGCCTGTCCTGACAGTTTTGGTGGGGATATGGTTTCCTCCTTTGGTACTTCCTTGATTAGGGTATCGTTTTCTGCTTGATTGTTTGCCTGGTGTTAATCCCTGCTTATCTGGGTGTTGGCTGCTGGAGAGGATGTGTTTACGTTTCCCAGTCTCTTCCAATAATATCCTCCTAAACACTGAAATACTGTAGGTGAATTATGTGCCAGATTTTATGTTTTTACATAGCATCTGTTAACTGCTATACTATATCATGTAGAAATAAAAAGCTGTACTATATAATAGGAAAAGTTTATTACTAATAAATAAATAAATTCTTTCCTTAATTGTCCCCATTTTTTAATTTCACATAAAGCATCTTAGTTTTTCTGTTTTTGGAAGGGGAAAGTTAAATAAGAGGAACTCTTTAAATGAAGAAGGAAGCCAAAATTAAAGTGACTTCTGAGGTATTGAAGTTAGCTTTATCTGAAACTTGGGACAACGCTTCTTTAAGACTTGGAACACTTTTTGGAGTCAATAGCTTGTGAAAACAATGAACTAAAATTGCATACTGAGCTTGGTAGCAGCTGCTGACAGATTTAAAGGCCCATGGAGAGTTCAGCTACAGAAAGGTAAAAAAGAAAGACAAACTGTTACAAGGCTAGGTCATTGCCAAAAGCCCAAGATAGGAGAAGCCAGGGGACTCTAGGGTGATGATGGTGGTGGTGGTGGAGGTGGCAGCATAAATATTTCATATACATATATGTACAGGAAGACTGCAAGCCATGTGGAAATGTTTAGCGTGAGTTTCCAAACAAGAGGGCAGCCAAGCAAGGCGAGGCATTTTATCTTCGCAATACAAAATTAGAAACGCTCGAGCCAAGAGCACATTCTTGAAGAGATGGAAAGAGAGAAGAGAGAAATTAGTTGCACATCACAAGTTCAAGATGAAGAACCTAGCAAGAGATCAAGTGGGAGAAATGAATATAGAGTCACTTATACTTGTGGTGTTGAGGTGACTAAATCTGGCAGAAGTCCTGCTTGGATCCACAAGTACAAGCTGAGCTGCCTCAGCAAAATTCTCTACCAAGGCATCACTGCTTGAGGGAACCAGCAGGCTGAGAACTTGTTTACTTGGCAATAATCAGCTAAGTGGATTATATTCCTAAGTCATAAAAACATCTAAGAAACTGGTGCATGGCTACATCAGTAGGAGTTCACCTAAGGAACATCAGGTGTAAGCATCTGTTAACTGCAACTGCAACTGTTCACAACTGCTCAGCCTTTAGTAAGGGGGTGGGGAGAAGAGTGGTTGTAGGTGATTAGCCCACAAACTACCAGTCCAACATTCTCATCCTGCAGCTTCCAAGATAATTCTGTGGATGATTCATACAAGCTCATCCTGCTAAAGGATAATAATAATATTTGGCCTTAATTTAATGGTTTATATAGAACTTGCCTAATCAATCATGCCTAAGCAAGGAAATAAATGAGGTAGACTGAAATTAGAGAGAAAATAAACATGAGTCCACCATTATTCATTTCATCATTTTGGGGAAATGAGAAAATCTTAAGAAGGGAGATGGTTACTAATGGCCCCAATATTCAAGATTTAATGTTTAACTGATGCTGTCATTGTAGTTATATGATATATACTGTATTAACAATAATTGCTTACAACAATGTGCACATTAGGAGAAATGCACATAAAATGGCCTATGAATCACCTTGCAGAAACAGGACAGATTAGATTTTAAGATTAGGAAAGAATACAGACCAAGAGAAGTTGAAATTGAACAATTTATCCATTCTCATTTATGCTCCACACTGTTTATTTGGGACACAATCCTATACTTCTGATCTATCAACTGAAAGCCATCAAAACACATCATCAGTCTATAAACTGCACACAGGATAGCTATAATTCAGATGAAAGCACCAAGCTGTGTAAACTCTCTTTTTTCAGCTCTCTGTTGTGCTTATAAGAGAAAAGCCTTGACAGGAGATTATGAAGAGGAGAGGGCACTTTGCAGAGACCAACTCAGTAATGCAGCAGACACAGCAACTTAAGTCCATTGCTAGCCTTGAAGCCTAACCATGACTCCAAAGACAAACACACAACATCATTCTTCACTCCAACAACTGTTGTGGCAATTTTCCAATCATATGTTAATTCTTCTTGAGTAGAAGATTGAATCCAGAGGAATCAGCTGCTTGGCTCTCAAAAAAGCACTTCAAGATGTAAAAGCTGATACAATGTTGATTAAAAAAACATTTGCCAGGCTGACCTCAGGGAGGAGATTAAATAAAGGTCCTCCGGTTAATGTTCCTAACATTCTGTCTCATTTTCAATTATCCTATTCCACTGTATGTTATTTACTGAGAAGGGACATGGTTGGTGGAAAAAATGTTTCCAATCCAGATTTTGAAATTAGATTGGCAAAATAGCCTGGATTCAAAATGGCTGAAAAACTCATGAAAATCAGAACAGGAAAATCAGCAGGCCAGAAACATAATAAAGCATTTGAATTCTTGAAAACTTTCCTCTCCTATGAAAAATGTTTCTATTTTTGTACCTTAATCTCAGAATTCTTTCCCACTTTTTCAGGGTTTTTTTTTTGGTGTGTGTGTTTGTGAGAGTATCAAAATATAAAGAGAAGGAGTTTTGGAGATTTGAAAAACGGGTTGCTTGACAAATCTGAAGTGAGATAACCATGCAAAGTTTAAGAAGTACAACACATAAATCACATGTTGTCCTTTGCCTCCTGCTTCGGGTCTCTTGAATGTAACCATGCATGCCCTAAAAACAACTTATTTGACTGTTTTCTAGTAAAAGACAATTCCTTCATGAACTTCAAGGAACTCATCTAACATGATTTTCTAAATATCATGGATAGCGCATAGCAAGGCCTCTTCCAAGCATGACAAGACCTGGCACTTACTAAAGTACTGTACTCCAGGTGTGATATCATCCTAATCACTAACAGTTCTGCACTGCCACAATGTATACTTAGCAAAAGACACTAAAATTCAGGAATAGTAAAAGTACGTTCAGAATTGTAATCCCCATCTTGACTGTATTATGGTGGCTCACAAGTGGTAGCACTGGGCTAAGCCCTGGGCCAGGCTTGCTCAGCACTTCCCAGGAATACCAAGGCAATAGACTAGACTGGGAAATCAAACAAAGATTCTGGAAGAAGGTAAAGGTAAATAACTTCCATATTGTTCCAAGAAACTATACTGATAATCTATGAAGTCCTCAGGAATCAAGCTCAACTCAAAGGAGACTACCTTTTTTAATGATAGTAATTTATACGATGTATGTACTTGTATGCTGTAGTGGTTAAGACATCAGGTTAGAAACCAGGAGACTGTGAGTTCCAGTCCCCTTAGGCATAAAGCCAGCTGGGTGACCTTGGGGCAGTCACTCCCTCTCAGCCCTAGGAAGGAGGCAATGGCAAACCATTTCTGAAAAACC